TCCTCCCCTTCAATGACACTCCTCTCCGCACTACACACGCTCTCTCTCCACCTTCAATGGCACTCCTCTCCCCACTACACACGCTCTCTTCCTCCACTTTAATGACACGTATTCCCCACCAACGTTAAATATCCTCTCTATTAACCTTCAATGACAGGCTTACTCCCACCTACTTTGAAGACCCCTCATTCCAACAATCGTAAACGGAATTCCGATTTAAATCCAGAAGTATGATTGTAGAGCTAAAAATAATAACAAATCAGCCCAGTCTACTGAAGATGCTGGCCGGTCTAATGAAGATATTCCCAGCCGCCGAATAAACTTATGCTCTAGCTAAAGGAGAGACATAGCTATAGCCCAGCTGCTTTACTATTTTTTGTTTCGAAATAGCTGTTAGTATTCCGTTTCCCAAATAAAGATTAAAAAAGATAAGTAAATAATAACGCACACTAGACCCGTTGATTGAGATGTAAAGTTGGTAGTTGTGGCCTAAACCTTCACCATCATTTTCAGCTTGCCTAAAGTGATATGTGTCATAGGCATCTGTTTGAGCATCCAACGTAATCCCTGAAGTGTTGCCCGACAAATGTAAATTGAATCGCCTTGTCTGTCTATTGGACAGATGGGGATAATAATCCCCAACATTTTCGACTTCATCTCGCCAAGACACCTTTACAAAAACGGACAAAGGTGTCACATTATTGTGAAAGGAGGTAAAAGAGAATAGTAGTAAAAACAACCACATTCTTAAATTTTGAAATTAATAAACAGCTGTTCGAGATTAAATTATGGGAGGTAAATAACCATGAAAGTAACTACCTATGGCAATTTTAGAAACACTTATTTGTTAGACTAGGTTTTTAAAAATTTTAATTTATAAAATAAAATCTTAAATAAAATTAAAAAAAATTATTAAACGATTTAATAAAAATGGAGGGCGCTATGAGAAGGGCATAAAGAGGGGAGGGATTAAGGAGGGGAGGGATTAAGGAGTGTCGTCGCTCTGCGTCTTGCGATAAGAAAATAGCATTGAAAAAAAAGAGCGACATAGCTCTCGCTTTAATATTTCTTTTTTACATTTCTCTCCTCTTTTTTTGTCGCAGTTGCGCGATTCTATGTATACGTATCATTATTGCTTGTGATTTACATCAAGAGCAATGCCTAGCGAAAAATTAAAAAAAAAATCGAATAATATTGAATAATTTTGAAAAAAAAATTTAAAATAAATCTTGCAAAAGTGTCTGGCAAAACTCCAAATATTACAAATAACATCTCCTTCAAGAGTTGCCTACCAAGAGATGGTTATAAAAGCCTGTCTTAGCACCTGAATTTATAACACGGATCACGGTGAGCCTTATGCCGTCTTTAGGGAGCATTTCAAACATTTTGACTTTTTCGCACCGTTTTCCACTTTTTACAATGCCATATTTTAGACATCTTTATCAATTTTATTAGCCACCTTTTATTTAACTTTTGATAAATTTTTTTATTTAAATTTTTTTAAAATTTATTTTGGGAATTTTTCAACCAAAATTCAGCTTGGCCCCCTATCAAATTTGCGTCTTAATTACGAATTACAAAGTTTTTTGAGTTATGAATTACGATTACGAAAATATGGGAAAAAATTATTAATTACAAAGATAAGAATAATAATTACGAAATATATTATTGAAATAAAACTATCGTACTTTATCATTAATAAGATGGGTATAAAAGCCTGCCTTAACGCACATCACTAACGGAATCAGCAGTTTTGTTAAATTATTTTCACTATATTTTATAAATTGCTAATTACAATTAGGAATTAACGGCATTTTTGATAGAGCCTAAATTTTTATAGGACGCATGAATTATTTTTGGGACGCATAAATCTTTATGGGACGCATAAATTGGACAAGAGCCAATATTAGTTCAACTACCGCTTATAAAATAGAGTCCATATACATAATAAAAGTTTTCATTTTTACTAGTTTAAAAATCAAAAAAAAAATTCCAAAATATTTTTTAAAAAGTTCAGTTGATCACAATCCCAAAAATCACAATTTGGCGGAAAAAGTTTTTACAAATTTTTAAATGTCCAATTGTTAGTAAATAAAATAAAATTTTAGTAAAATGTACTTATAGCTCGGAAGTTTTATGTATATCGGTATTATAGTATCTCTTCAGGGTGCCTGTGTCGTTGCACGCTCTCTTGCATGTAAAACACGCAGAAAAATTTGAGAAAAGAGCAGATAACAAGTCGTTTCTCTCACCTCAGCTGAGACATATAAAGAGAGAGAGACATATAATGGGTACACCCCTACTGTCGAATCTGAGACATCTTAGTATGGTTGATTCAGCTAGTCGAAGCGCATCGAACTATACCAAGGCGTCCAGGATTCGACAATTCTGAAAGGTTATAGCCTCGGCGGTAGGTTGGGCTTCGATAAGTTGGCGTGCTCCCCATATAATAACTAGAGCCCGGATTTTTATGCAAATGCATATTTTTTTTTGCAGACTTGTCATGATGTGTAATGCACAAAAAACACTGTTTCCGCATGTTTTGAAAACATTAGAGGGGGTTTCTATTTGCATATAATGCATATTTTTGCATATTCCGGACTTTGTTGCATAATGCATATTTTACTGCATATTTTGAGGTTTTTGGGGAAAATATTGCGAAAATTGCCCAAAATCCTGCCAAAAAGTGAAAATTTATTAAAAATTTAGGAAAAAATTTGTAAAAATTACAAATTTTGTAAAAAATTTTTTGTGTTTTTTGGGTTCGCCAGAAAATGGCCAACACCCATAATGTCTCATCCCCTAAACGTCGCATCTCAAAATGTCCCACCACCAAAATGCCTCATCTTAAAATGCCCAACAGCTTAAAAATGCTCAATCTGTCGAACTATACATTTAAAATGTGAGAAATCTAAATAAAAATTGGGTGTTTAAATCATTTTGACTAAAAATATGTAAAATTTTTAGGTATAAATTGTATTTTTCATGCATATATGAGTGCATATTTTGGTTTACTTGCATAATTTTGTGCATATTTTGGCAATTTTTTATGCATATTAGTGCATATTTTGCATTTTTTAATGCATAAAAATCCGGTCTCTAATAATAACGATAGACAGAAAAGTTCCGAGCTCTAAATGTAATCACTTTTTGTTTTGAATGTTCTCCCAATCCTTTTTGAGGTACACGTCAAATTTGGCATATAAATTGCTTTTAATCACTCTCTTTAAATATCAAGATTAAACTCATAAAATATAGAAAACCCCTACTAGTTTTATCGTCATCCCCAGCTGTTGAAGGACTCTCGCTTGGTCCCTCTCCTTGTGGACGTTGTTGTTCCATATTCGTCGGAACTCCTTGTTGAGGGTGAGAATGTTGAGTTGGGACATGGTGAGGGTCGATAAAAGGATGAGAAATTTGCTGGTGTGGTGCTGGATGAGGTTGAAAGTGTTGTGTCAATCCATGGTGAGGGTCGATAAAAGGATGAGCAAATGACTGGAGTGGTGCTGGATCTAAACAGTTTCAAAGAAAAATTTTACCTAGAAATCCAAATTTTTTTGTAAAATTTCCAAAAAAATTTTTTAGGAACCAGCATTTAAATATTTTTAAATCACATTGCCACTTACAATTCAATCCAGGTTGCGGATTTGTTGATGATTCTCCTGCGTCCTGCTGTTGACCTGGTCTAACATCTTCTATAATTTTATTTGTGAAATCATTACCGCCTAGATTAATCCCGGGGTAACAAGGAAACGTGCTAATGAGATTCTATTCTAGTTACTTATATTTAAACAGTAAATATTAAGCTTGACACCTCGATCCCTGGGACGGAAAGCCAGGTATTTTGATTAAATACTGTTTTTAAACTCTTTAAAAATGCCCAAATCCCGTAATGAGATTCATTTACTGGCTGCATCAAATACTTATCGAAAAATAAAAACGTGCCTAATTGTCTAAGTGCTCCACTTTTCATTAAACGATCAAAATCTCCTTCGGAAACAGCATCAGATCGAAAGTAATCCTGTATTTTTAGAATTATAATATAATTTTGGAACTTATTTTTCCATTAAATTAATACAAAAATAGTAACTGATGAGAACAAAAATAATTTGAAATAAATGTCTATGGTATAATTACCTCAATGTTTAATCGTTCATTGCTATCCGACGATTCACCCTCTTTGGTTTCCTGGATTGTTGGTAATTTTTCTCTATCTAAAATATTTTCAAGTTAACTTTAAATTATGTTACTGTTCTCAATACTTAGAACTGAAGGATTGGGATTAAATGCCCCAATAGGTCCTGATTGTTGGAAAGGTTGTTGCTGCTGACGAGCAAGATGGTGTTGAGAAGATGGTTGACCTTGAGGAGGTTCCTGTAGCCGAATACCAGTTTGTGCCCCAATGGGCAGATGAGGTTGTAACATCATTCCTGGTTGTTGAAAGTGTTGTTGGCGACTAGGAAGATGCTGTTGAGCACGTTGAGCTTGAGGATGCTGAGCATGAGGACGGATTCCAGTTTGTGGTCTAACATTTTGAGGGAAAAATAGGTGATATTGTTGAGGTAGTAGACTATTACGATAGTATTCTTGTTCTGCATCTCCACTTAATTTTAAAAAATTTTTCGAAAATTGATGTGATTTGATTTCAATTTAATCGAAGCATAGGTAAATAGAAAAAAACATACTTTCATGAAAAATTGCAGAGGTAGTTTCATGATTCGAAAAATTATTAACCCAACCCTCTAAGGGTAGTTTCATGATTTGAAAAATTATTAACCCAACCCTCTAAGGGTAGTTTCATGATTTGAAAAATTATTAACCCAACCCTCTAAAACCCTTTGTAATCTATTTTAAGTGAAATAAAACCATTAAAGCCTATCAAACTTTTTACGATTTTTGAAAATTTTCTGATTTGACACAACTCTGGCCAAGAATAGGACATGTACAAAGTGTTAATAATTTTGCTAACTTAAAACAAAGCAGCTCAACTTCTACTCGACTTACCAAACTCGCTCTATATTCCCTTGATACTCATTAAGACGCGCTAAAAGATAATCTTTTAGTAGTCTTCTTAGATGCGATCTAGTAAGATATTCATAATTTTTAGTTAGATATGCTTCAGATAAATTCTTTTTAACTGGCTCATTTGAAGGAACATCCAAAAGTTCTTCAATATTTCCATACAAGCTATTCTGTTCATTAAACTCAGCTGTATTTACTTTACCCAAGAACTCTAGTGTTTTTCTTGCCTGTTCTGTCAGTGGAGGACCTGTTAAAAATCAGAATTAATTTTTATAAAATCAGAATTATTAAATTCGTACCTGACAAGACATGTTGAATACCTTCAAGAGTTGTCAGGGTTGGAGGCTGTGTTTGTGGATTTGGTAAATACGTAAGAAGCTCTTCCATATATCGAGTCATTGCTCGACGGAACTTTTGAGGTATTTGTTGTATAAATTCTGTCATTCGTTGTCTCAACTCGTTTTGTCCTTTTTGATGATCAAATGATATAAGAAAGAGCTGCTGTTGAGGTATATCGGCTTGTTGTTGAGGTATATCGGCTTGTTGTTGAGGTATATCGGCTTGTTGTTGAGGTAAAGCATGTTGTTGCTGAGGAATAGCGGGAGGTAGTTGAGTTATATCAGAGTGTTGCTGAGGTATTGTGAGGTGCTGCTGAGGTATTTCGGCGTGCGGTTGATGCATGAATGGTTGTAGTTGATGTACAGTGCGTTGTTGATCTATAGCGGTTTGATGCTGGGTCTTGGCCTTTTTATTTTTAGGTAATTTTGGTTGTTTAGTTACTCTCCCTTTCCGTTTTTGACCACCTTGAGGACTTCCTCTGCCAAGAGTTAAACCTAGATCTGGTTGCATAGGCCGAGAAATATGATGTGGTTGTTGTTGATGATCTATATGTGAACGTTTTTGTCAAAAGAGCTGAGTTATTTACTTCAATCCGGGCCTTCTATATCAAGGTTCTGGTTTAGCAAATAAAGCTTTAACTGATAAGGAACATCCCTATCTCGAATAATATCGGCTCTTTAGAGTTTGTTATATCGAGATTCCATTAGAGATCGGACCGAGAGTCGAGAATCTCGGTTATCGAGATGGGAATTTTTCAGTATCTCGATTCTATATATACTCCTAGTACTGCCTTTAGTCCATCTTATAAAAGTTAATTACCCTCAACAACTTCAATTGCATTTTGTTCAACAAAATATTGGTCCATATAATAATCTACGTATAACTGAACATTGTCAATCATATTAAAATAATTTTCTATGCCTCTATGTTCATTTTCAATTAATTTACAATCAAATTTCTTTGTTTGATCGTTAAAAACGATTTGATAAAAATTTAATTTGTAATTTGAATGAATTGCGGGTTCACATTTTATCTCTTCCTAAGAATATTTTTTTGAATAAATTCAATATTGGTGTAAAAGTATGAATTAAATGAGAGATTTTGTCTTAGTATTCATTTTAAGGATTTGGCATTCCGTTTTGGCGGTTTGCGATATTTTTAAATTTAAACTTTTAGTGGCGCTAATATAGAAAAGGAGAACAAACTTTAAGTCTTAAAGTGCCGTAACTGATATGTGATTTATCATAATAGATTGGATGTTTACATTAGGCTTATCTCCCAGCTAGGTCGTGGGGAGGAGGGAGGAGAAAAATTTTATAAGTCGATAAGTTAGTTTTCTTCTAATCCTTATAATCTGGAATTAAGGTGTATCTATTAGTAAATGTGTCATATACAAATTATATTGCACTATCATACTGTAAAAATGAGGTAATTTTGTACACTATACCTGCATGCTATCTTCAAATACCATTAACAAATATTCATCATTTGGGCAAACTTTACTTCTGACATATTGTGATTGATATTCTTCCTTCTGTTCATCACCATTTATAATTTTCTTTAACATCACAACAAAATTTGATTCAACATCATCCTTACAACGGATCATAACATTTTTCTTTTTATCCGAAAACTTTCGATTTTTCCAATTAAATTGCATAACACGGACTGGGCGTTTAAATAATTCGATATACGAATCGAAATTAACTGGGTCTTGTTGTTTTGTTACTTTTATAAATTTTGTTTTGCTATTTCTTCGAACAATGACGTAAATTATTGAATTGTTTTCAATTTCATTTATAGCGCCGAAATTTAACTTTAAAATAAAATGTACTCTTGAATTATCCCAACCCTCCCCCCCTCCTCTTTATTTTTCTTCTCCTTTCATTTTCCCTTTCTCCAGAAAAGTCCATAATGATCAAAGTTAAAGGATCGTGGCGATCTATGACGATATACCTGGTTTTTACAACAATGGTCCGGCATTGTACATTAGTAGCTTACTCAGGGTGATAGAGCTCACTTTTTTGGAGAAAGGTAAAAAATTAATAGATAAAAATGAACGGAATAAAAATTATCGCCTTCAATTCAGAAAGGAACACTAGGACTGATGCCTTGTAGGCTGAATTCGTATTCATAAATAAAGTGAAAACCCACACTAAGTCCGTCATTTGAGATAGCAAGTTTAAAGTTGTCACTTAACAATTCGCCTTCGTTTTCGGGTTGTATAAAGTGATAGATGTCATATGCATCTGTCACAGCATCCATTGTAAACCCCGAAGTGTTGCTAGTCAGTTGTAAATTGAATCGTCCTGACTGACGTTCGGTCAAACGGAGATAATAATCCAAACCATTTTCACCATTATCTCGCCAGGAAACCTTTACGAATACAGACAACGGTGTTACATTTTTGTGAAAGGAGGTGATAAAAGAGAATAGTAGTAAAAATAACCACATTCACTTAAATTCAAAAATATTAGTATTTTGTTAAAAGAAATTATGTGATAGATCGTGGGGTCATAAAATCCGTATACAAATATAAAATAAGCTAAACTGGGCTAGCCATTCCTCATTCAACAAAAGGTTAATAAAGCGCTGGGAGAGAAATAGCATCTTTATGTTGAACGGACTGATCTGTTCCCCACGCCGCCTCCTGCATAGACTTAGGAATTAAATACATAACTGTAGTATGCCTTACAATACTACATATAAAGGAGTGTCATTAATATCGAGATAAATATTATAAAATGAAAACTGTTGAAAGACCTTCAAAATCTTCCATGACAATTTAAAAATTCACAAAATATTATTTAAAATTTTTAATTAAAATAAAATTTTAAATAACTATAAAAAATAACGAATTATTGAGTGGAATCTTATGAATGAATAATGAGGAATCAACGGCAATATAATTAAATGATTGGGCAATAAGAAAGCATTATAATGTGTGACTTCCTTTTTTTATTTTCCCGTTACAAGTGTCACGCGATTTTTTGTCAACGTAGCATGATGCATTATGCCGGGAAAGAGAGAGGGTCTCTCCATACAGGAGGCCTCTCACTTTTCGGAGCTCCTTTCATAATACCCTCTCCTTTCGAGAATGCCTCGGAAGAGAGAGAGAGTGAGAAAAATTTAAAAAATTTTTAATTGATTCTAAATAAATTTCGCATTGAGGCTAATTATCAAAGAATAATATCTGCTTCAGGAATCGGTCCTAGAAGATTTGGAAGTCTTCCTACTTTAGTAAAAGTAGATATTACTGGTGGCCTATGACGTATTTTTTGCCTTCGGAAACTCTGCATAAAAAAGAATAAAAACATTGACTAGACGCATAACATTATGAATTTCTGTGTAAAAATATTACTTTCATTAAAATATGGAACAACTTAAAAATTTTAAATATTCGCATCTCCATGAAAAACTACGTTTAAACTACAACGATGCTTGGCTAGAAGAGCTTGGACTTCTTCATGGAAAACGGACCTGCCTAAATGTGAATGTTGAAAAATTATTAGTTGAAAAACATCGTCAATACGGGATGTTGGCGCTGCACTACTGGAAATTGTATGGCTGAACAAGGCTACTTATCCTGAACAAGGCTACTCATCTAACAACCAAAACAATTCTTTTATCTTTCGTATTTATGGTTTCACGATTAGGTAAATATAATAATTTGCAATTAGACACTGAACTTAGTCAAAGTACAATTCCGCATTGGTTGAATTTCTTCAGTGATGTGTGAGCCGAGTTTTATATTAGGCTTCCCATTACAATTGAAGGAGAAGTCAAAGTTTCTGTGATTGACCAATATTAACTGCTAATTAAGGTGTTGTAATAGCTGTAGACGAAACTGTTGTTGTAAGAAAAAAATATAACAGGGGAAGAGACCAAGTAAGAAGGAGGTCTGGCTGTTTGGAAGTGTGGAACGGTGATCTGGTGGTGAAAAATGTTTTTTAGAAGTTATTTAAGGACAAAAATCAACCGAAAATTTTATTCCAATGGTTCAAAAATTAAATCGTCAGAGTCGATAATATATACCGATCTTTGGAAGGCATCTAAATCTATTCCCAAATTTCCTCAAAAGTACTCTTGTTACACTGAAAACATTCAAACAATAATTTTAATTCAGAAAATAAGAATGTCCATACTCAAAATATTGAGTATTGTGTTCCACTTATAAACGTAAGCCGGAAAAAATAACGTCAAGCCGGAAATAAATGTAGCCTATAATACACATATTTTCCTGAATTTCTTTGGCGGAAGCGTTTTGATGATATTTCAAATGTGTTCTATAATTTTTGGTATCATGAATCACTTTTCAATCCTTGTGAACGAACTTAATAAAATTGTATATTGTTTGACTGTTTGAATATGCCATAGTCTAACACATGGGAAAAGAGAGGAGGAAAAATTTACTATTATGTAAACTCTTAATGAAATAAAAAAAATAAAGAGGACGATGTTTGGAATTACATATTTTAATTTTATTTTAGGTTTGCAGAGAGAAGTGAGGCATTTGGCAATGAAGTGTATTGAAAGTAAAAGGAAGATAGGCGATTCAGCGACGCTGAAGCAAGTGATTAAAGAATGTAGAGCCATTTTTGCAAAAATTGAGGATTGTACATTGTAAAAGAGAAGGTAAGTGAAGTAAAAGAAGTGCCGTAAGTCCAAGGAAAACATTGCAAAAGTTAAAGTATAGTGAAAATTGTGAAAGCGGCAAAACAAATAACTAACAGAAGCTATGGCCGTACAATGAAAAGAAGAGTAGTAATTGTGGTAATCTTGATAAGTTTTTGAAAGGTAAAGATTATAAGCCGAAAAGGCAGTGGAGTGCTTCTAAATGTAGATAATAAGAACTTATACTAAATTTGTCGTTTGAGATATGAAGTTTATAGTTATTAGTAAAACTTTCATCTTTATTTTCAGCTTGTAAAAAGTGATATTTCAGCAATTATCGCAATCTTCGAAGTGTTGTTAGTCACTAGTAAATTAAACCGAGCTGCTTGTTTTTCTGCCAGATGGCGATGATAATTCAAACTATTTTCACCGTTATCTCTCCAAGAAACCTTTATGAATACAGACAACGGTGTTACGTTTTTGTGAAAGGAGGTAATAAAAGAGAATAGTAGTAAAAATAACCACATTCACTTAAATTTAGAAATTAATGAAGTAGTGTTTTGTTAAAAATATGAAAGTATATCCCAGGAAATTTCCAAAAATAAAACCCCTGTTATATGCAATAAAGCTTATCTAGGCGAGATAGCTCTTTAAGATAATGCAGACGCTTATTTAAACTACTAGGAGCAAACTAGATTCTTCTGTTGACAGGACATGTCATCAAACACGTCATGCCGCCTTCTGTATAGCTTTAGGAATTTAAATGCTATATGGAAGTTAATAGCCTAATGGGAGCTAGGAATGTCAAGATTAACATTATAGAATGAAAACGGGTTTACAATATTAAAAATCACCCTTAGAACTTTAAAAAAACATAAATTAATTAGTTAAATTTTTTAATTTAAATAAAACATCAAGTAAAATTTAAAAAAAATCAACAGATTATTGAGTGACTTTATAAATGAAGAAGGAGAAAGGAAGGAAATAATAGACTAGCTAATCATAAGATTGGCAAAGTAAAATCGCGCGCGACTGCGGAGGTAAATAAGGAAAGAAGAACCGCGCGCGACTTCTTCTCCTCTCTCTCTTTCCTCTCTCTCTTTCCTCTCTCTTTCCTCTCTCTTCCCTCTCTCTTTCCTCTCTCTCTTTCCTCTCTCACTTTCCTCTCACTTCTCTCTCACTTCCCTCTCACTTTCCTCTCTCTTCCCTCTCTCTCTTTCCTACCTCTCTTTCCTCTCTCACTTTCCTCTCTCTTCCCTCTCTCTTTCTCAAAATTCTCTCTCTTTGTCAGCAGTAAGATTCGCGCGAGCACTGATTGTCAAGCATTGTTTGCGCGGCATTTTTTGTTCCCTTTGAACAAATGCTGCGGTAAAGAAAGAAAAGAAAAAATATTCTTAAGAAATATTCTAAAATAACTCGTTTAATAAGAGTTGATAAGAAAATCACTCTTTCAAGAATCGGCACAGAAGATGAGAATTGCCAATATTTTTGAAAATATGCATAATACAGTGTTTTCAATTTTTCAAAATATGTTACTACGCGCATTACTTTATCGAGCAGTAATGAGAATCAACTTTTTATTTTTAAAATTAGAAATAACTGAAAAAATTTTTCCTTAAATAAATTTACCTAAGCAAGGGAACCTGTTTTTCAATAAAATTGACACATTACATACCGTTGGCCCCTACAGGTCCCGAACTGGAAATAGTATATAAAATATATTTCTATTTATTTATTTTTTAAATGTGGGGAAGCAAAAGCATGCCAAAAATTGTGTAATTGAAAGTGAGCACTTTAGGACGAGGTTCTCAAAGCTTATATTTGCATATTTCGGGCCTCTCGATCATATTTGTATATTGTGATGAATGAATATTAGTGGCAATGAATAAGCTTGAGAATATGTTTCCGGTATATAATTCCGGAGGCGTTAGGGCCGAACGCAACGGAAAATCAGCTTAGAAAACAGCTATATTGGGCAAAAGTAACGATTAGAGAATTAGCTAGAAAAATCAAGGTTAACATTATAGAATGAAAACGGGTTAACAACATTCAAAATCACCCTTAGCATTCAAAAAAACAAGAATAAATTAGTTTAAATTTTTTAACTTAAAATAAAACATCAAGTAAAATTTTAAAAAAATCAGCAGATTATTGAGCGACTTTATAAATGAAGAAGGAGAAAGGAAGGTAAATCGCGCGCGATTGCTGAGAGTAAATCGCGCGCGTTTGCGGAGGTAAAAAAGGAAAGAAAAACCGCGCGCGACTTCTTCTCCACACTGTTTGTCAGCAGTAAGATTCACGCGATTCTAATATGAAGGCAGCACGAGGCATTGATTACCAAGCACTGTTTGAGAGGCATTGCTTGCCAAGCATGTTTGCAAGGCATTTTTATTGTTGCCTTTGAACAGTTGCAGCGGAAGGGAAAAAATTGACAAATATTCTGCAGAAATATTCTAAAATAAATCCTTGGATTATTGTCCAGAAAAATCTAACCTATAAGAATTGGCACAGAAGATAAGAATTGCCATTACTTTTGAAAATATACATACTCATAATACCGTGGATTCTATTTTTAAAATATGATACTACGCGCATTCTTTTATCGAGCAATAATGAGCAGCTTTTTATTTTTAGAATAAATTTTAAAAAATAAAAAAATTTAAATTTTTAAAAAATTATTATAAAAATTAGTTTAAATTAATTTAATCCAAGTTTTGACAAAAAGCAGTAATACTTATGCTGATTGTTTTTCGACGAATCTTAAGCCAAACTACTTTCGTAAAATAAAAAGATTTATGATTTAAGAAAATAACACTAAAAGTGGGCCTGCAAAATTTAAAAAGCGACCAGCACTTCTTTAGCATTTGAGCAAGGGATGAATCCTGCTGAAAATCAAGTCCCTAGTCAAAACTGGCCTCGGTAAAGAGGCTTCAAAACATCTTTAATGATCACCCCGTTTATTCGCACGCTAACAATAGCCCTTTGTTACCGGGACAAAACTAAGCGACTGTTTACTATAGGAGACGCGTAGCGCAAATTGCTATGGAAGAACGTTGTTTTGCGCAAGTTTCTCATCAACATTCTTCGTTAACAACCACAATTATACCTATAGGTAGCTGAGAGGATCGTTCTCGCCCTTACCATTGGGATTCAAAAGGGTTTAATATTGTAATTGGAGAGCTAGTCACTTCTAAAAATAAAATTTTATACATATAATAAAATTATTTCTAATTATCAGTAAAAGGGTAACTAAACCGAGTTTGCACAGAAAATATTGTTTACAGCATTAGGTCGGTAATAACGATAAATATCGGGAAATACCGGAAAAAATTAGAGATCAAATCATATGTAAATAAAGATTTTTCCATAACCGTGCTTGATTCTCATCCAACTCTAATTTTAAAATAAACTTGACAAAAATGGAAAGTGACTCACTGACATGATAAATATAAATTACAAAAATTTTTCTTCAAATTTTATAAACTTTATTCTACATAGTAGATAATTTAATGTCAAATTCAATTAATATGAATGTAAAAATTATCCAAAACTTTAAAAAAATTACTCATAAAATTTAAAAATTACTCAAATAATTTACAAAGCCAAAAAATAGTAAAAAATTGTTAAATACAGTGTGGTTAAATACAGTGTGGTTAAATACAGTGTGGTAAAAAACTAATGTCGAAACCGGGGTTGTTTTATAATTTCTTGTCATTTTTTAAAAGAAATTTTGCGATATTGACATCTAGTTTCAATCTTTTTTTTAATTATATGTTAAATAACTAGTATTTACGGTAATAAACTGTTATGTAAATCTGAGACATATATACTAGACATATATACTATAAGTTGAAAAATCGTGAAAGTTTCGCGTGGTTTTATAATTTCTTGCCACAATGTATCAGTAAAATATCAAACATAAAACATTTAAAAAAACATAAACATATGTATATATGTACAACCGCGCAGATTTTGCCTTTAAGGATGTTGACTTGTTACAACGTTTTTTTCAAAAATATCATCTATAATTTAAAAAATCAGAGATATAAGAAAGAATATATAAGGGATATAAGGGGGAAGATCGAGGTGGATTATAATATTCGTGCAGTTGAAAACTTGACTGAACAGGAAATGGAATAGACTTTCATGAAGGGGAGTTGAAGAGGACAGCATAGTGGATCGAACAAAATTTACGAAACAGGGAATGTTCATAGATCAGTTAAATGTATCTAAATACAAAATCTCATAAAGATAACTTGATTTAAGCAACGAAAAATGTAAAAAAATTAAAGTGGGTTATACTTTTGAAACAGAGTGTATCTAACTGGATCCGGGGTTATTCTACTTATTTTTGTTTTATCATTCTCATACCGTATATTCTTGAATAATAACCTTGGTTAATTATAGCTTCAACCTCTCGCTAAAGGGTTTAAATAATCGAAGGAGGGGAATTACTATTCGTGTATTTGAATGGGTGGTAGAGCATTTAAGAGGGTAATTATTTATTCAACTTTTAACCAGAAGGGGTAAATATTTGAACGAAAACTATGAATAATTTTAGGAGATATTAATCTATAATCCAGTCACTTCTTAAATAAGTTTTTTAGTCAATTTAAAAATTAACGACCTAAGCTGCTTTGTTTGGAATAATCTTCAAAATGACCAAGAAGATCAGACGAATCTTCGTTATGAGAACTCGTGTGTTCATCAATTGAAGATCGTGTTGAGATTGATCCTAGTCCCTGTGAATGCGTATAGGGTTGTGGTGGAGGAGGCTGCTTAGATTGTTGGAAGCTATGTTGCCCTGGTTGGATTAGGCTTCCATAATTTGGATTGTGGGTAGGATGAGGCTAAACAAGAAAATGAGTAAAATATTTGTTAAAATTTATCTTTTAAATATCGTAAAATCTCGAAGAGAATCTTTGAGTGAAATTCATTAAGAGAGTTCTTAGGAAATATTTTCGAGGGTATATAATTTTTCCAAACATTCTTCAGAAGAAGCAGTTTTGGAAGAAGTTAAGCTACTTAATCCCGATATAGACAAGAATAGTATATTGATACCCTAAACAAAAGACAAAAATACGACCCTTGGTAACAGAATGAAGTAACTCAAAGAAAAGT